TTGATGTCTTGCATCAAGGCAAGCAGAATCACGACAGGATAACACATCATGAGGTATAGAAATGCAGGACAGCATAGCTTCTGTCTGTTGTACATATTTGTGAATAGCAGACTTATTTGCATAGACCAGTCTACACGAGGCCTCAACGGTGTATCAATTAAATATTCATAATTTGGCAGATAATCACAGTTGCATGTAATACTCAGTGGGAGATGATCCGATCCAATGTATTCGTTCAGTATTTTTACGTTACTAATAGATTTATGAGCAGAAGACGTTGATACACAGTGATCCAACCACGACGTGGTATGATGAGCCTCACTGTAATACGTGAAATTATTTTCAATGCCCAAAAAGACAACGTCAGGATATGTGAGGCTGTTTTCTGTGCAGAAAGAATCCAATTCTTTACCGAACTTTGAATTAACTTTGGCATTCCAATCACCAATGACGAGTACACAATTAGAAACTGTGTCATCAATACAACCACCTACTTTGTGTAGATATTCAAGGTTTTCATGGTAATTGTCCCCACTGTCAGTAGTCCAATTGCGTTGATATTACATATATAGGTACTACATGTGGACCTCTCTCAGAGTTGTTCATTTTGTAGTGATATCTTTAATTCTCTAATTTTGATGAATATTTTTGTCATTTTTGGCAAAAAGTGATATTTTCGACTTCTTGTTGAAAACCGCAAGTCCAATTGCTTTGATATTACATATATAGGTACCGGTACTACATGTGGACCTCTCTCAGATTTGTTCATTTCATAATGATATCTTCAATTCTCTAATTTTGGTGAATATTTTTGTAATTTTTTTGTAAAAAGTGATATTTTCAACTTCTTGTTAAAAACTGCAAGTTCAATTGCTTTGATATTACATATATAGGTACTACATGTGGACCTCTCTCAGATTTGTTCATTTTGTAGTGATATCTTTAATTCTCTAATTTTGGTGAATCTTTTTGTCATTTTTGGCAAAAAGTGATATTTTCGACTTCTTGTTGAAAACAGCAAGTTCGATTTCTTTAATAATACATATTTAGGTACTACATGTGGACTTTTTTCAGAATTGTTAATTTCGTTGTGATATCTTCAATTATCTAATTTTGATGATTATTTTTGTCATTTTTGGTAAAAAGTGATATTTTCGACTTCTTGTTAAAAAACGCAAGTCCAATTGCTTTGATATTACATATATAGGTACTACATGTGGTCCTCACTCAGACTTATTCATTTCATGTTGATATTTTCAATTCTCTAATTTTGATGATTATTTTTGTCATTTTTGGTGAAAAGTGATATTTTCGACTTCTTGATGAAAACAGCAAGTTTGATTGCTTTAATAATACATTTATAGGTACTACATGTGGACTTCTTTCAGATTTGTCCCGTTGCTTTTTTTATATATATTGTTAATTTTCTAATGATATCTTCAGTTCTTTAATTGTAATGTGCATTGCTAACAGCGGACAGGATGCTTGTCTTATATCCCACAATGCATGCGTCATTACAGTGAGGTCAATTTCAGTTTACGTTTTATGCAAGCACGGTTACTATTAATCGTGATGCAAGGTAATGTTTAGCACAATCAATGAGGTTTGTCAATCGAACCTCTTTGATGGTGCTAAACATTGTGTTTGTATTTGAAGCCCACACATACATGTAAGCGACTCTACCAAATATATACTCCAGCTAACAAGCCACACCAACCCAGCGACTGCTCAGATTGCAAAGGATTTGTACACACTCCCACCATGTATACGCTGTAATATGCAATTACAATTCAAGTTACCCCATAACTCTGGATAGACATGTCGGAGAATGCAGCCACTTAACAAGGATTACATGACTTGATCACATGACCAGTGTGCCCTCTAAGCTATTAAGGCACACCACTGACACAAAGATTTCCTATGCCTAGTTATACATCGATATTAATAGTGATTTTGAAAAATATCTTACTATAGTAATGGAATTTGTTAAAATTAAATTCACATTTTATAAACAAAATAATTGTAGAACAATGGAAATCAGGGCCACAACATTTTTGTTACATACAGTCACATACATTTTATTATTTTCTTAAAAACCCACCAATCAACAAACTGACAATTTGATTTTTTGAATTTCGTTTTAACTCAGAATCCTAACAAAATCAGTTCTGTTAGGCACCTCAATAGAGTAGTATACTATATAGTTGCTATCTTAATGCCTGTTTTGTAGTTGGTCATGAATGTGCATGCTGAATTATTGTTACATTAGCTATGCTTGACAGACTCTATTTACTAACACCTGCCCAATGTCTTACAGATTCAGACTTTGAGAGAAACATCAAAATTCAAGTTTGATAGTGTCCCTGAAGTTTTCTCACCAACTGTGAGTATCTCCAACTTATTTACATTCTTTTACCCTACTCCTATCATTGAATCATTATTTTGTAGAAATTTAACCTTTTCAACATCAGATTTTCTCGCCCAAATTATTTTGCACTTTTTTTCATATTCTTCAATATTTCTGGAAATAAACCTTAATTTTGGAGCCAACAGACAAAATTTAAGTCAATTTTCAGTTCTTACTAAAAAAAATTGGCTATTCTGAAGGAAAGTGCAGACTATAAACACGACTATTTTGTGAATTTGCGATGAAAAGAGGGAACTGGTGGTGAAAAGGTTAATAATCAAATGAGTATTTCATAATATGCATTTCTTATGAAGTCATCAGTATATAGCTACATATACATGCAGTTAGTAAATAAATATTTTTTTTTTGAACTGCCCATCAAAGTTTGAATGAATTATATTAGAAACATCTGTTGATATTTAGCAAAGCTTTAAATCAGGATAGTAAGATTGATATATTACTTTAAAATACTTTATTTTAGCTAGAATTCATTTTCACTGAAAAGATTGTTTGGGTGTTTTGTTTGGAATTTATTTCACTGATTTTTGACGAGTTGAATGTAAAATATAGGAAAAAAAAGTATATTGGCTGGATTTTATTTTCACTGAATCATTCCTTCAGCGAAAATTCCAAACGAAAATATTTTACAGTAGCACTAATTTTTTGGCAGGGTGAGCAATTTCTAAATTTCCCAACTAAGCAATTTTACATTTTAAGGCAAATTGTTTTTGACTCCCGTGTGCGAAGCACAAAAAGGGAGTCTTTGCAGTTAGTGTGTCTGTATGTGTGTGTGTGTGTGTGTGTGTGTGTGTGTGTGTATGCATGTCCGACTGTTCCACTGATATCTCAAGAACCATACATCAGTTTTTGATGAAACTTGGTGCATAGATGCTCTGGGCCAATGCGCAGATTTGATTAGGTTTTGGTAAAAATCAATGCATATTAATTACCTAATTTGCATGATAATTAGCTGATTTTTAGCTGTTCCATGACTCTTCCACTGATATCTAAAGAACTACTCATTGGATTTAGATGAAATTTGGCACACAGATGCTCCAAACTAATGCGCAGATTTGATTAGTTTTGGGTAAAAATCTGTGCAATATTAATTACCTAATTTGCATAATGATTAATCAATTTTCGGCTTTTCCACTGATCGCTCAAGTACTGTAAAATCTGTATTAGAAGCCGCGGCTTCTATTAAAATGGTACAAAGCAACAGAGGGGATGCGGCTTATATTAGAGCATCTACACATATGAAAAATGATGAATTTTTGGTTCTCAATTGTACAAAAAGATTGGATGCGACTTCTATTAGGAATGCGGCTTCTAATACAGATTTTATGGTACTAATCATCACATTTCAATAAAACTTGGTACATAGATGTCATAGAACACTGCACAAACCTGATAGTTTTTAGGGTAATATCAGTACATGTATATATTAATTAGCTAATTTGCATAATTAATTAATTTTCAGCTTTTGATATTTCAAGTAGTAATCATCACATTTCAATGACACTTGGTACATAGATATAGGACACTGCACAGACCTGATAGTTTTTAGAGTAATATGAGTACATATTAATTAGCTAATTTGCATAATTAATTAATTTTCAGCTTTTGATATTTCAAGTAGTAATCATCACATTTCAATGAAATTTGGTATATAGATGTCATAGGACACTGCACAGACCTGATAGTTTTTAGGGTAATATCAGTATATATTAATTAGCTAATTTGCATAATTAATATATTGCATAATTTTTGATTTGTCTTCAATACTCTCAGCACACGGGAGTTCTTTCTAAGCTTTCTTTGATTCCTGCTAATTTATGTCAATGTATTTTCATGTACCAATGGAAATTAAACCTTTTGAACTCAAATTATTTTCAAATAGCAAAATTTTGATGCAATGACATTCTGCCATTTTTATGTATTTTTCTGTAATTTTTTTGATAATTTTGAATCCTATGGACATAAGTTTCTATTGGCTAAAATTCTTGATCAAAGTTTTAGTAAAATTATGAAAAAAAATTAAGTGGGTTTTACTTAATTTTGTGGATCAGTGAATTTCTGATCAGATATTTGTATGCAAATTAGAGAGACAATAGTGAGAATCTAATCAGAATCTCCGTTAGTTACTAGCAAGAATATAATCAGATCCTTGTGTTTTCTTTATTATTTGAATAAATTGACCATTTACTAACTTTATGTATGCATAATTTCCCATTCCTAATTTTCACGCAGCAGCTTACATGTACCTTATGCTTAGCACACAAGAACTATTGCAATACATAATTTAGTATTCAACTGACTAGGTACTGTGATGGCCTATTTCGACTATTACCGGTATTAACGATTTATTCATGCCAGTTTGTCACCACCAATAAACTTTGATGATTTTAATGATTTCATTTATCATTTGTGATTCTTTTCCAGGCAAAATCACTTGAAAAAAGTGGTTTCCTCTATAAACAAGGCGGGTGAGTTCCATACACACAAAGTTGTTAATTTTGCCTTGGAATAGATGTGGGATTGTATTAACTAGGTTGGCAAGATTTTTCTTTGTAGTTCGGTCACATGTGAAAAGTATACTCTTCACATTTCAATGTAACTTGGTACATTCTAGATGCCCAAAGTGTTTATTAATTGGCTAATTTGCATAAATTAAACAATTTTTGATATCTCTGTAACCATGCATCAGATTTAGATTATATAGTTAATGGATGAACCACAGAAGTAAAATCTATTATTATCAAATTATTTTTTTTATTATTATTTCTGTTACTATTACCAGGTACTATGGACCAGATTAATTTCACAATGTGTAGTTTGAATAACAGAGCTACATGTATATTAGCCAACAGGCATCTGGTTTAGGGCTAATCTTAAATTTGTAATTTATTTTAAACTCCCTATTTCTACACCTGGTAGTTCATTGTTAGGATTTATTTTGACTGCTCATCAGTCTTTCACTTGCACATACTGGTACTGTAGAACTGGAAATTATTCACAGTTTCATGTACTTATTAAAAAAACAAATTGTCCGAATAACTTTTTTGAATAACATTTTGGGGAGTGCTGCATTTACTACTACTGTGAAATAATTTATTTTCACTGGAATTAATTTTCGCTGAAAATACATTTTGGGTATTATGTATGAAATTTATTAGTCCCCGTTTGTATGAAATCCGAAAACGGGGACTTATAATTCGGCCTCCGTCTGTGTGTCCGTCCGGAGTCATATTTCAGAATCCTTTAAACCGATTCTGTTCATTCTTTGCGTGTGCCTAGTACTTAATGTGGGACATATGCACATGCAGTGGTTTAGCAATTCGATTCAAAATGGCCGACTAGCAGCCATCTTCATGTACCATTTTCATTCGTATTTGGAACATACATGATACATGTAACTTTGCTTCATAATCAGATCAAAGATGCCCGAATAATGGCCGTTTTTATTTTTGACCATATTACTGTCACCCATGTATCATTTTCATTAATATTTAGTATGTCATAAATAGATACATGTACATGTCAATTCAATTTGCAATTTGATCAAAAATGGCTGACTGGCAGCCATCTTGTTTGTTTAAAATATGATAACTTTGACATGCTTTCACTTGTGTTTTTCTTTGCTATGTCTTAAAATGTTCGAATTTGCTGCAAATAAACAATCTGTTGTATATGCCAGCTGGGACTCAAGTATCAAGGACACAACCCCTCCACTTTAATATGACAAGCACAAAGAGAACTTTCATAAATTTAACGGGGACTGTGTTATTTTCAATGACTTTTTTCACTGATTTTTGGTGAGTTGAATGTAAAATGAAGGAAAAAAGGTAAATTCGCTGGATTTTATTTTTACTGAATCACTCCTTCGGCGAAAATAGCGAAAATTAATTCCAAGCGAAAATAAAGTATTTTACAGTACATGTGCTTTGTGTTGGCCACTGTTGTGATAGTGGGAAATCATTTTGATCATAGCAGATATTGTTGTGAAACAGTGCACTCAAAAACTAGTACTCTTTAAACATGCATGTGAATTAAACTCATTCTCATTGTTTTCAAAAGTGTCCATTTCTAATTATAAATATATACATATGCATGCAAATGAATGGGAAATTTTTTTCTGTGGATTACTTATTATTACTTACAACATGTATGTCTTGTCTGTGAAAATAACACAAGATAATTTTCAGTTATTGTACTTTTTCTTGTTTACATTTAGAAAACAAAACACAAAAGGTTGGCGCAAACGTTGGGTTGTATTTAATGGAAAAGATCTAAGATATTACATTTCTAAAGAGGTGGGTATATTTGAGTTTGATGATTTGTTTTCACATGTACTCTCAAAGTAAATAGGGAGGGGACCTCATTAATATGCATAAGCACAATTTTACCCAAGCTATTGCTGTATTTACTACCAAGTGGATATCAAAGTGTTTTATTAATGTCCAACAGTGACCCCACTCATAGCAACCAGTTCAAAATGTGATAATTTTTTAACCTTATGACTTTGATTTTGCTCATACTTGAATGTCTTTCCATTTTTTGAATGCTGTAAACAGCACATCCATAGCAACTTCACTGAAAATAACATTTCCACAGAACTTCAATTTGATTGTTGATACCAGCTCAAGTATTTCTTGAGCCACTTGACCAATATAGCGCATACTTACATATATCTTTTTATTAGCTCCGCTGTCGACTTTGTCGAGCTGAGCTTATCATATGAGTGATTGTCCGTCGTCGTTCGTGTCAATGTTTTACTTTTTTGACTTCTTTTT